TTCTGGACGAGCCATATTCATCCGTCTTCACTGACTGATCTTGGATGTTGCAAAGCAATTTAAGTGGCTTATCTCCCACTAATGGGTTGGTTTTATACACGGGACTTTGGCCGTCCGACGTACGATAGCAATTTAAGCACCATATATGTCATAGCCACCGCTCATCGTCCTATCGCCATACTGATTTATAAGGTCATATAAATATTTGGAAACACCTGCACGCCTGCTACTAAATCCCCAAATGCTGGCATCAAATCCTGTGATTAAGTTAGCTTTACGATACTAACACGTTGCTACGCTTTTGAAATAATGGTAGGCATAATTATTTGTCGAAATAAATTTTTATCGCCAAGACAACACCTTAAGATAGTGATTGCCTTCATTCACAAAGCTCAAGCAGCATGACAAGCCAAAATAATTGGGTATATTTCGGTCTAATAGACGACACAGAATGCTCTTTTAAAATAATCGACGCATTTTGAGAAGTGAGTTACCTGTCTGCAATTTAACTGTGTTAAAATTTCCGAAAAGATTTGAATGCGCTCACTAAGTGCCCACAAATGTTTGCAAACCTTGTCAAACCCGCGGATTTATTGTAATTGTGCCCTCTCTCTATTCACATTTAGCTTTCATGCATTTCTGGTTTATTACGCGAGGCTTGTGTAACCTCTTTATGATCGACTTATGCCTCAATATTCTTATGGTAATCGATAACATGATGACCCAAAATGGAATTCAAATAACCTTTTTGCAAGGTTCCTAAGAACCACTGCTGTAACTCAAGTTGATTGGAAATGCCCCCATAGCATAGTGTGAGAGTTCAGTGCCCGTAAAATAAAAGTAATTACCCAAATTTCTGTCACAGACATGTTTTGCATGAGAATAACTATAACAAGATAAATAAGCAGTATTCTGCTTTCCTGCCGCCTTGATTACCGCCAAGCTTCCTTAGCCCACCGTCGTGTAAATCAACACTATCCTACCATTTTTATTGGCTAATCCAAACCCACTTCTGAAGGCTTGGTTTTAATTGGCTACTTCCACTTTCATACGTGTGCACCTTCATCATTGGCTACCCCACAACCTATTAAATCCGAGTCCTTTAAAATTACTGATAACCGCTTCATGGTTAACTTTCTAGCCAAGTATCAACTAGAATCCTCTATTCACGTGGTCACTCTTGTGAAGCACCGTCGACCTTGTCCGCTTTCCAGTTTACCACCGCTCATTCTACCCACTCCTACTTATGCGCACGGACAACGAGGTGGATTATTCGACTACTGCACGTCTCTAACACGCCGTGCAAACTCGAATCCGATTTACGAAGCCAAAGGAAGGACTGTCAGAGTTAAGACACTATATGAAACCCAATTCGCCCCAAAATTACAAGCTTCGGTACGCAACACCTCTCCAATTCACTGAATTTTCTAGCTCTACGCTTATTCCATTACGTGTCATGTAACCTTACCCCTCTCCCTCCCCCATGCTGCAGCATTTGGCTTTATGGTTAGAACATTAGGCAATCAACAGTCTCACTAAAGAACTTTTAAACACGCATTTCGAAATCGCCAACACGTTACGCAACAGAGCACAAGCCAGCCTCGTCTCCAGCCCATAAAGCTCAAAGTCCACTTAGCTGCACACCAGATTGAGATACCACGTATCTTCTAAAACAATCTTATTTAGGAGTTATTGTAACACCTATTGAGAGGAGGGTAAGAAGGTAATGTACAGCAGAGGTGGAAGTAATGGGGAATACACTGTCAAGAGCGGCAAACAGAATTGACTGCCTTTAAACACAACGACAAAGCTATATTTACACTCACGTGTCAGAACAACCACCATTGTCGCATTCGTCATTGATGGCAATCATCCAACACTCCTCGACTCCACCCGAGCCTGGAGGAGCTGCAGATGTTTGATACGGTCACAAATCTTTATTGCTGGACCCATTTTGATTCCAACACCAGTGAGAAGACTCATACTCTTCAGCAGTAATAAAGAGGTGCCGTCTATGTCTTGGTGTCGAAACGCCTCAGCTTCCTTCTCGAAGCCGCCCTGTTCACGCAACCAGTCAGCCACGTGATCTACAGTCCAGAGACGAACGTCCTCTGGACGTCCGTTACCAGCTTGGAGAAGAGGCATCTCAGGTGCAGGAGAGTCGTGATGCGGTGTGCCCAAATTCGGTGGCATACTGTCATCTTCTTCCTCTCCTTCGGCTTTCTCTCCCTCCTCCATCTGTAAGGGCTCTGTAAGGTCTGTACCAGTAATTGTGGAGCCTGGCTTGGGAGCGACTTTTGTTTCGGAATCTTCTGCCGGTGTGGGTGTAACCGAATTTTCTGGAACAGTAACTCTACAATTGCGCAATGGAGACACAACATTCATTCTGCAAGTGGTTTTAAGTGCCTCCTATATCCACATAGACGAGTACGAGTTCGGACAAATTATTTTACACTTATTTTAAGTTGCAATTACGACTAATGGAAAGTATGGAGTCCTTTAAGTAAGGTGCAAATTATACTCCAGCTTCTATCG